GGCAAATATGCGGCATATTCGCAGCCGGCGACAGATTACCCGGCCGCACCCGCACGCTCTCGCCGCTTCCCTCGAGCGCCACAGCGTACCGCCCGCCCTCGAAGCTCCGCGCCTCGCCCCGCTGCCCGTTCAGCTCGGGGCGGGAAGAGAGGCCGCCGAGCACGACTCGCTGGCCGAGCAGCGGTGTGTCCATAGCTGCCGCTGCGGCGCCCGAGGAAGCGCCGCCCGCCCCTGCCCAGCCGTCTGCAACCGCCTCCGCCTCAGCCAAGACCCGGACGCACTCGGCGTGGCCCTTCTCCTTGGCCCACTGTAGCGCCGTCTTGCCGCTCGCACTGCGCGCCGCCGCGTCTGCGCCCGCCCGCAGCAAGCGCCGCACGACGGCGGGGCGGTTGTAGTGGGCGGCGAGCATCAGCGCAGTGCAGCCGTCGCTGCTCTGCAGGTTGAGCTCAGCGCCGCGCCGTATCAGCAAGTCGACCACCCGCTCGTGGCCGTTGACGGCGGCGCACATCAGCGCGGTGCCACCGTCGCTGCTCTGCAGGTTGACATCAGCGCCGTGCTGCAGCAGCAAATCGACCAACCGCTCGTGGCCGTGGAGGGCGGCGGTCATCAGCAGCGTGAGGCCGCTCTCACCGTCTCTCTCGTACGTCGCGTCGACCCGCCCCCCGCCGTCAAGCCACGCCAGCAGCGCCTCCTCCTCGCCACGCTCCGCTGCTGCCACGACCGCATCGGGGGCTGCCGCGGCACTGCTCGACACCGCCGGCGACAGATTACCCGGCCGCACCCGCACGCTCTCGCCGCTTCCCTCGAGCGCCACAGCGTACCGCCCGCCCTCGAAGCTCTCCGCCACGCCCCGCTGCCCGTTCAGCTCGGGACGGGAAGAGAGCCCGCCGAGCACGACGCGCTGGCCGAGCAGCGGCGCGTCCACAGCTGCCGCTGCCACGCCCGAGGAAGCGCCGCCCGCCCCTGCCCGGCCGTCGCTGCTTGGCTCGCTCACTTGCCCGACCATGGCACATCACAAAACAATTCGAGGCCAGGAGAGCGCCGCGGGGCGAAGCAGCTCTGGCGGCGTCGCAGGACGAGACAGAAGAGAACGACGCGACAGAGGAGGAAATGACAAGGGAGAGAACGACGAGAGTGGGACGACCGCGAGGTGGCATGAAGGCTGCAGCGAGAAGCGGCGAGAGACTGCGAAGAGCGGTTACTCGATCGTGTTTGACGACGTCAAACACTGTTTGACGTCGTCAAACACAAACACAAGTGGAGAATGGCCGTAGCTCCTCTCCACGAGCGATTGAGAGGACGTACCAAGTATCGATTCTGTATAGAATTGCGAGGCGCACACGCTGGTGCAGGCGGCGAGTCGTCGATCCGACTCGTTCCGACGTGAAGTCGCCGTGAAGGGTGGGAAAACAGGGCGATTTTGCCACATTTTGCCCTCTCGAGCGATCTTCTCGCGTCGGCTAGCGCGCGGGCAAGGATGGGCGAGCCGACCCCGCCACGCTGGACGGGCCAGCGGCTGGCACGCGCCGGCCACCCCGGCGGCGCGGCGGCCTCATCGCGCTCGTCGTCTGCGAGGCCACCGCTCGGCGTCGCCGCGTGCGACGGCGATCGCGCTTGGCTGTGAGGTGGGACGGCGGCATGGTGCGCGCGGGCGTGGGGGTGGTGCGGGATGCGCATGCCAGCAAGCCTAGTTTCACCTCCCCAACCCCGCAGGCGCGCCGACGTGCTGCCCGAGCGCGTTTGGAGGCAGCAGCAGCTCCTCGCGAGGCGCCTTCGGAGGGGTGCCACACCCCTTTCCCAGCCGCGCGCGAGTTGAGCTCCGATTTGCGCTCTTTTTCGCACACGCCCGACGCTAGTAGGTGAGGATCGACCATCCTCCGCAAGCAGGGCTTCGTCGGGCGCGTCTTCGTCGAGCGGTGGAGCATCTCCCATGCTCCCCCCCGCGCCCTCCTCGCAGCCCGCCCGCGGCCGACACCGACGCCCTCACGGACTCACCCTAGTCGTAGGTGCGGGTTTTTTGCGTGGCCCCCGTCGATACGGGGCGCTGGGCGATGGCTGGGCTTGTCGCCGGGCGAGCTGGCCCCTCAGTCGGCCGCGGAGCGGAGGTGCGAAATCGAGGCGGCGCGGCCCCTACGCGCAGCCTGTCCGGCCGGCGCGCGCATGGTTCCGTAGCCCGTCTAGTGCCTCACTGACCGACTCCAGCGCCACGGTGTACGTGGCCGGTGTGGTACTGGGGCTGGGCAGCCTTGGGGCCGGCGGAGACCGCCGTCTAGCGGTCGCACTAGTCTCTTTTCGTTGTTTGACCTGTTTGTTTGACGGTTGTTTGACCATACTTTGAGCCTTAATTATTAATTCGGGTTTGGGTCTCTGAGGTCGCTACTAGCGTCCGTAACTTGCCACAAGCATGCTTTACAAAAGTCCAGCGGAGGGAGACTCTCAGAACGGCCGTCCGCGCGCGCTGTGAACAGCGCCGTGGTCAAACACTGTTCAACGTCGTTGAACACGTAGCGAAAGAGAGACCGAGAGAGATAGGAAGAGGCAGACTCCCTAGGGTGGGCGACGGCTAGCGCATCACACACCTCTCCTTAAAATCCCTGTGTGGTGGCGGCGTGCCGTCCTCCCATCCCTCCCTTGGGTTGTCTGTTTTCTTTCTTTCTTTCTTTTCGAAGCAGCTCTGACAGCCGCGGCAACGCATGATGTCGCAGAAGAAAAGTAATCGGTGTCCGGGAAAGCGGTGGCCGGCGCCGACCACACCCACAACCCTGCACAAAGACCGCAGAGACCAGAGTCTCTCGCCGATTCTCGCTGCAACCTTCATGCCACCTCGGTCCTCGCTCGTCCCACTCTCTCTCGTCGTTCTCTCCCTTGTCGCTTCTTCCTCTGTCGCGTCGCTCTCCTCTGCCTCGTTCTGCGACGCCTCATTTGCCGCCAAGTCATATGATTGGTCTCAGGTCCGTGTCGTGTTACGCACGGAAAATTCTTTTGACCGCGCAAGATAAAAGGGTGGCTAAGGGCTCTGCCCGCAAGGCGCCCGCGTCGCAGACGCGGTACCATTGACAAATCTGCAATATACCCCCACACGAGCAAATAGCAAAATCCGAATACCGTGCACGAACTGCGTGATCTCGGCCGTGGACGGGCGCAAGCCTTCAGCTGGTGCCAAGACATTCGTAAAATTGAAGCCAAGAACGTCCGCCAAATCCGTGCTAGGGAAAGCTCATCGAGCCCAGCGTGCCCGCGACCGCCTCCCGCGCAACACCGCCGCTGGGGACGACACGCTGCGGAATCGGATCGAGCCCATGCACGGGCAAAGAAGGACGCTGCAGAAGCGGTTGGAGAGGCAGCCGGCGTCTGCCGTCTAGGGAGCCTGGGGAAGCGAACCGACGGGGGACGTCGGGGCGAATCGTTCCGCGTGTACGCAAAGTGCGTCGACACCTCAATCCTGCAGGCGGAGCAGCAGTCGCAGAGTGTGCAGGCCTATGCGCGCCAGCTCGCGCAGCTCTCGTCAACCTCTGTCTCTCTCTTTTCTCTCTATTAGAGTATAGAGTATAGTATATAGTATATTCGGCTTTATATATCTAGCAAACACCCACACGACTAGCGACTACCAGTCTACTACTGGCGTCTACTTAGTCCCTCAGAACGGGAACGGGAGCACAAACGCGCCGCCCGCGGCGTTCTCGCGCTCCGCCCTTCGCGGACTGTACGGGTGGACGCGGGACAGGAGTGACGACAGCTCGAGCGACACCGGAGCTCTACGCGTACTCGGATATCAAAACGCGGCTTTCGACGAAATGCGCGCCTCTCTGCTCCGCCTCCTTACCGGACTCACACTCGCAGAGGGCGGTCCCACTCCTCTCGCGGGCGACGCCTCCGGATCGGACTCGGTGAAGTCCTGCATCGACCTCGACAGGCACTCGATAAAGGCGGCGCTCTCGACGACGCCCGGCTTTGAGACGGCGGCCTTTTGCACCTCCCAAGCGTGCGGCGCCTGCCGCGCGTTTGGCGTCCCGACGGGCGTCCAGCGCAAGATATTCAACCGCGGCTGCTCCGGCGGGCCCTTCAACCGCGGCTGCTCCGGCGGGCCGCACAAGACCTCTTCCGCCTTCTACAGCTGCCGCAGCGGCGACTGCGGCGGCGGCGACTGCGCCGAGGAGATGATGAGCGTCGAAGTCGCCGGCGCCGGCGCGGCCGTCTCGAGCGGGCGGCATGGGACGAACGCTCCCGCGCCCGTCGGCGACGACGCGTGCGCGGAGGCGTTCAACGAGGAGAAGTGCGTCATGAACGCCTGCTCTGGGCACGCGCATGCAGCCTGCAACACGCTGGGCGTCGCGAACACCTCTAATAACAAGTGGAGCGACTTTTCGCTCGAGGGAGGCGCGCGCGCCGGATTGCTCGAAGGCCCGGACGGTTCCGACCGCAAGCCCCTCTACCCGCTGGAGGAGATCCTGCGCGCCTCGGGCACCTGCAGCACCGACGGTGGCGAGACTTTGGGGCAGTCACGGCCGACCACCGAGATCACGCAGGGCGAGAAGCCGCTCCGGACCGGCGCGAGCGACTTCGTGTGCACCATCGTCGACGCCGCCGCCACTCCTGGCCCTCCCTCCCTCCGCAAGTGGTGGTGGTGCTGCGCCTCTACGGCGGTGCTGCTTCTCCAAGCGTGCGGCGCCTGCTGGCTGCTGCTGGGGCAGCGGGCGCCGCGCTCCGGTGCAGCCTCGGGGCAGCGAGCCAGCAAGGCGGTCCGTCCCCGGCTGAGCAAGAGTCGCGGCTCGGTGGCCTTCCTGCTGCTGCTCTCCGCCCTCCCCGTGGCTCGGGCTGGCTCGCCGCCGCCGCCGCCGCCCTCGCCCTCGCCACCCTGGTACACCGAGGACGCCGCCATGCAAGCTCCCCCCTCGCCACCATGGCCGCCGCCGCCGCCGCCCTCGCCACCCTCGCCGTCATGGTACACCGAGGACGGAGCTTGCATCTGCAACATGAACTGGGTGGGCGATTGCACCGCCCTTGCCTTGGAGGGCGGCGGCCAGTGCAGCGCCGCGGACCCCTGCTTGGCAAACGACCAGGCGTCCTGCCCCATCGGCTGCCGGTGGGAGACGCTCAGCTACATGGAGCAGTGGTGCTCGCGTAGCCCGGCTTCCCCCCCACCACCTATGTCGTGCCACGAGCCGTTTCCGCCAAGCTCGTATCGTCCCGCCAAGCCGTATCTCCCGCCAAGCTCGTGCTCCGTGACCGATCTCTCGTGCGTCGCCAACCTCACGCTGCCGCCGGGCGGTGTTTACGGCCTCTCCTGGGATCTGAAGACCACGTTTGCGCTCGGCGCGACGCCGTGCACCCC